TGGTCTGACCTTCTGGGGCAACAGAAAACAACTCCACACCATCCTCGATACGACAGCCCTTCAAGCAGTGTTCCCTCTAAGCTGGGTTAGTGTGAGCTGGCTCACAGTGTTTTAGCCTCCGGCTCACACATTTTTGTCTTTGCCCAGGAAGGAGGGCTCTAGAGCAAACTAATTCATGCAGCAGCCCAATTGCTCGCTCACGACTTTGAATGCCGGCAGCTCACAAAGTAGAAGTTTTGCTCACAAGGCTCCACAGCTTAGAGGGAACATTGCCTTCAAGTATTTGAAGATGGTTATCGTATCCCCTCTCGGCCGTCTCCTCTCCAGGCTAAACAGACCCAGCTCCTTCAGCTTTTCCTCATAGGACTTGGTCTCCCGATGAAGTCCCAGCACAGATTGATAGAACCAATGTTTTGAGTTCGGTGGCACTTTTAAGTCCAACAAAGTTCAATTCTGGGTATAAGCTTTGGTGTGCCTTTCTCACTGCGGCGGCTGAAGGCGGATGACATCGTGTGAGCCGGGAGTCCCCAAGCTGGTGCCCACGGGCGCCGTGGCGACCCCTGAAACCTTCCCTGGCTTTTGCCAAGTGTTTTTTAGAAAGTGGGCGGGGCCGGGTGAGGCTTTTGCCCAGCAGGGCTTCTGATTGGCCACTGGAGATTTGATTGGCTGTGCAGATGTTTAAAAACATCGGTTCAGCCGCAACAGTACAGCACACAGTAATAAGTAGCAAAGGATAAAAAACAAACAAACTGTGAGCTGAATTTCCCACAAAATATTCACAAGGGAGACTTCATCAATGTGAAAGGCATCTATTGTCTGGAATAAATCTATCCATATAATCCATCATGGGAAAATGAAGACGCCAAAGAATAAATATGCAAGATAAATATCCCCAAAAGTCCAAAATATCCAAAAAGCCCAACGCTTTCCCAAGGTAATTTTTCCAGTGTTTCAGACTTCTGGTCCTTCCTCAGGAACAAAGAACAACTAATGAGAGTCTCATTCCATCTCCTTTTAAGATAATCCTTTTCTATTACTTCAACATTGGGCAAGGTCTCTTTAGCTCTAATCTGCATCCCTGAAGGCTGCATTAGAAGTGGGTTGAAAGCGCGTTGTTCGTTAAGCGCGAATGTGCCATCAATATGTTAAGGGGTGTAGAAAGGGAAGCATATGTACACTGATAGTCCCTTTACCCAGGAAACTTTCTGACCAATTCATTACAGCCTTCTTTAAAAGGTAAAGGTTCCCTTGCTCGAAAGCCAGTCGAGTCCGACTCTAGGGTTGCGGTGCTCATCTCCGTTTCAAAGCCGAAGAGCCAGCGCTGTCCGAAGACGTTTTCCGTGGTCATGTGGCCGGCGTGACTAAACACCAAGGCGCACGGAACGCTGTTCCCTTCCCACCGAAGTGGTACCTATTTATCTACTTGCAATTTCTTGCTTTCGAACTGCTAATTTGGCAGGAGCTGGAACTAGAGACGAGAGCTCACTCCATCATGCGGCAACTCGGGTCTTGAACTGCTGAACTACTGACCTTCCACAGCCTGCAGTTCAGCGTCTTAACCACTTGAGCCACCGCAGCTCCATGTTTCCCAATACCTATGGACTATGGAGCCAGTTTGGTGTAGTGGTTAAGAGCCTAGACCGCAGCTCCACAGTCTTCTTTACCTGTGCAAAAAGTCCTCTTGAATAATTCCGTTTTGAATAGTTTGTGGGAAACTTCCTGACCTCATCAGGAAGGCATTCCATAAGACCTTATCGGGAAGGCATTCCATAAGACCTTATCGGGAAGGGCATTCCATAAGACCTTATTGGGAAGGGCATTCCATACGACCTTATCGGGAAGGGCATTCCATTCCGTCCACACCTCATTGGGGAGGGCATTCCACAACAGAGAATGCACAAGTATGGGCAGTTATCAACTTTGCCCATGAGAGCCTGCGTGGTGTAGTGGTTAAGACTGACGGACTCTGATTTGGAGAACCGGGTTTGATTCCCCAGGCTTCCACATGAAGCCAGCTGAGTGACCTTGGGTCAGTCACCGCTCTTTCCGAGCTCTCTCAGCCCCAAAAACAAGTATAACTCGCCACCTAGTGGTACATAACGCTAAAAGAGCTAGAACTTTCGTGTAGGTCTGCAGTAGAACAGGTAGATTGAGTCCAGTAGCACCTTAAAGACCAATAAAGATAACTTTTTCTCCCTCTCCCCAAATACTAGAACTCAAGGGCATCCCGTGAAGGTGATGGGCAGTAGGTTCAGAGCAGGCAAAAGGAAATACCACTTTACATAGAGAGTGATTAAAGTGTGGAATTCGCCGCCAGAGGATGTAGTGCTGGCCACAGGAGTAAACAGCTTGAAAAGAAGATTAGATAGATTTGTGGAGGATAAGACTATCAGTGGCTACTAGCCATGGTGATTGAGGGGAACTGCCGTATTCAGAGGCACTAATCCTCTGAATCCCAGAGCCAGGAGGCAGGGCCGGCTCACCCACTAGGCGAACTAGGCATTCGCCTAGAGCGCCGGGCCCTGGATGGGGCGCCAAGCTGTGCCTCCCCCCTCCTCCCCCCCTTTGGTGGTGGCGGGGGGGGAGGAGGCGGTGGTGGCAACAGCAAAAGGGTGGCTGGCTCCAGAGGTCTCCAGGTCTCCAGGCCCCACCCGGGAGGTTGGCATCTGCGCCATAAGGCACCCTTGCCTAGGGCGCAGAAACACCTCGAACCAGCCCTGCCAGGAGGCAACATCAGTGGAAGGCCTTGGCCTCTGTGCCGTGTGGTTGGCCATCCAGAGGAAATGGTTGGCCACTGTGTGAGACAGGATGCTGGACTGGATGGACCACTGCTCTGATCCAGCAGGGGTTTTCTTATGTTCTTATGATTAAAATGTGTAATTCGCTGCCAGAGGATGTAGTGATGGCCACAGGAATAAAACAGTTTCAAAAGGGAATTAGATAGATTCACAGAGGATGAGTCTGTCAATGGCTACTAGCCATGGTGGCTGAGGGGGACCTCCACATTCAGAGGCACTAAGCCTCTGAATCCCAGAGCCAGGAGGCAACATCAGGGGAAGGCCTCGGCCTCTGTGCCCTGTTGTTGGCCCTCCAAAGGAACTGGTTGGCCACTGTGTGAGACAGGATGCTGGGGTGGATGGACCACTGGTCTGATCCAGCAGGGCTCTTCTGATGTTCTTATGAAGGCCTCGGCCTCTGTGCCCTGTTGTTGGCCCTCTCTCCAGAGGAACTAGTTGGCCAATGTGTGAGACAGGATGCTGGACTAGAGGGACCACTGGTCTGATCCAGCAGGGCTCTTCTGATGTTCTTATGAAGGCCTCGGCCTCTCTGCCCTGTTGTTGGCCCTCTCTCCAGAGGAACTAGTTGGCCAATGTGTGAGACAGGATGCTGGACTAGATGGGCCACTGGTCTGATCCAGCAGGGCTCTTCTGATGTTCTTATGAAGGCCTCGGCCTCTGTGCCCTGTTGTTGGCCCTCCAGAGGAACTGGTTGGCCACTGTGTGAGACAGGATGCTGGACTAGAGGGACCACTGGTCTGATCCAGCAGGGCTCTTCTGATGTTCTTATGAAGGCCTCGGCCTCTCTGCCCTGTTGCTGGCCCTCTCTCCAGAGGAACTAGTTGGCCAATGTGTGAGACAGGATGCTGGGGTGGATGGGCCACTGGTCTGGTCCAGCAGGGCTCTTCTGATGTTCCTAAGGTTTTTATGCTATGAGTTTTTGAGAGACAAACCTCCCTTTGGTAGCTGACGAAGGGAGCTTTGATGCTTGAGAGTTTGTACCCCCAAACTCTGGGAAACACCCAGAAAACAACATTTGGAGACCATCAGTCGTTGCACGTGCCATAAATTTTCACGTCGCTGTCACACGGCTCCTTGCTCCCAACTGAGCACTGGCGCATTCGGAATTCAGAAAAATTCCACATCGACTAGTAATGCGGCGGGATCAGTTTCCAGGTCTTTTGCCAGGGACGTTTTGGCAAGGAAGCCTCGCTATTCGCTCCGTGCAAAAGGCCAAATTAGAAACGACAGGAACAGCCATTTCCCCATCTGCACTGTTCACAGTCCGGACAGGGGATGGGGAAGGCTTCATTGGAGCGTGGGAAAGGGGGCAGAGAAGTGGGCAAACCCTGCCCTCTCCAGGACTTCTGTCTTGCCCTTCGGGCCCTTGTCTTTCCAGCCAGCCTCCCCACTCCCAGTTCATGTTCCTGAACTGGGAGAAAGAATCCTCCCGTGTTAGAGCAAAAGAAGGTATGGTGGGGAGGTGGCAGGATTCCGTTGCCCTCGCCTGCGCACCCCTTTTTCACGTAGCCAGTGTGGTGTCGTGGTTAAGTGCGAGGACTCTAATCTGGGAGAACCGGGTTTGATTCCCCCACTCCTCCACTTGCACCTCGCTGGATGACCTTGGGCAAGCCATAGTTCTGGCCAATGTTCCCTCTAAGCTGTGGAGTCCTGTGAGCAAAAATTCTACTTTGTGAGCTGCTGGCATTAAAGTTGTGAGCGAGCGATTTGGCGACTGCATATCAATTAGTTTGCTCTGGAGCCATCCTTCCCAGGGCCGGCTCACTCACTAGGCGAACTAGGCGATCATCTAGAGCAGGATGGCCCTTAGGGGCACCAAACTGCACCCGGCCCGTACTCTGGGAGTTTCTTGATTATTTGTGTTTTTCATTCTTCCTAAAATGCATTTATTTTTGAAAAGGTGCCACTGGATTGTTTTGGGCCAGGGGGCCGGGGGCGGGGGCTCTGCAGCTTACCTGGCTGCTTCTTGCTCTGACTGAGGGCTGCTGGGAGCAGGGGGTGGGGCTTGTTGCATGTGCCCGCCCCCTGGGCTCTTTACTGCCGGAGCTCCGCTCCTGTGCGCTCCTGCAGGAACTGCGCAGATCAGTTGTAATTCCAAAGACTGGCAAGGTGAGGGGAGTTGATGCTGGAGGAATGGGGTCCTGTCCTTGACCTTGGGTTCCGTGATACCCCAAAACCTTCTCTGTTTTTGTTTTTCTGCAGCTGTTCTCAGCACCCCGGAAAAGAGGCCCGCCGAACCGCTTTTCGACAACTTCGAATATTTCCAGGATAAAGAAGACGATTTGCACAGGAACTACAACGACCGGGCTTATCTCAGCTCTGAAGACTTGGCGCGGGATGATAGCCGCACAGGTACGGGGGCCGGCCTGCGTGCATGCTGTGAGCAGAGGGGAAAGCTGTCATGATCTGGGCTGTGCCACCAGAGGCCTACTAGGCCCAGGGAGCCTGGCTAGCAGTAGGTGAGGCTGGGCCTACAACTCCCAGAAGCCCCTGAGAGGTTTTGGAGACAAAACTGACCAATAGGGAAGAAGAGCGCTGGGGAACAAAAGGGCTGGTGCCAGAGCAGAAGCTGTTCTTTCTTCCCAGAGGGCAGAGCCGCAAGGAAGGCTGCTGCAGGGGAGAGACCCTCATCCTGAGGGCAGGGTGAGTAGTGTAAGGCCACTTGAGATAGTGAGCTAGGGACAGTGTATATTTAGACGCGTTAGGGCATTTGATTTCTTTTCTTTTCACCCACTTACTGTTATTATTCTGCACCTTGTTGTTTGACCTCCTATAAAATAAACCTTTTCCTTGTTTCACTCTGCCTGGTCCTTACACCTATTATTCGGCCAAAAGGGAGGTCTGAAGGTCTTGGGAGGGTACTCTGGGCCTTCTCAATGGAGCCTGGAACCAGAGTGGTGGCAGTGTCAGGTGACACCCCACCTGAGCCATGGCAAAAGCCAACGCAGAAAGGGCACAGAATGCACTTTTCTGAGACTATCGGGTTTTGTTTCAAAACGAGGATCGAGTTTCTAGCCCTTATCACTGCAGAGAGCCACTTGAAGTTCAGTGCTAGCTGAAATCGCAGAAACTGGGAAGGTGGCTTAGTGGTTGAGCCCGGGGCTACGGTTGCCAGGTCTGGGTTGGAAAATACCTGGAGACTTTGGAGGTGGATCCAGGAGAGGGTGGGGTTTGGGGAAGGGAGGGCCCTCGGCGTGGTTCGGTGCCATAGAGTCCGCCCTTCAAAGTAGCCATTTTCTCCAGGGGGGTTGATCTCTGTCAGCTGGAGATCAGTTGTAAAAGTGGGGGATCTCCGGGCCCCACCTGGAGGCTGGCAACCCTACCTGGGGCATCAGCACCTGCTATCACTTGGCTTTTCCGCATTCTTATTTCCCTCGCTTGTGTGTGCCTGTTGTATGGGGGGGGTCCTTTCCTTTTCCGCACACATTATTCTCCCTCTAGTGGTCGATTCGATATTACATCAATTTCTGTCCAGCATAAAAAAAGGTAAAGGTTCCCTTGCTCGAAAGCCAGTCGAATCCGACTCTAGGGTTGCGGTGCTCATCTGCGTTTCAAAGCCGAAGAGCCAGCGCTGTCCGAAGACGTTTCCGTGGTCATGTGGCCGGCATGACTAAACACCAAGGCGCACGGAACGCTGTTCCCTTCCCACCGAAGTGGTACCTATTTATCTACTTGCAATTTCTTGCTTTCGAACTGCTAGGTTGGCAGGAGCTGGGGCCAGAGACGGGAGCTCACTCCGTCATGCGGCACACTCGGGTCTCGAACTGCTGACCTACCGACCTTCCACCGCCTGCAGTTCAGCGTCTTAACCACTTGAGCCACCGCAGCTCCTCCAGCATAAAAACCTGCCGTTTAAATCTGCAGGGAGATACGCCAGACAGGAATCGATGTAATATCGACCTGACCACTAGAGGGAGAAAAACATGTGCGGAACAGGAAATCAGTTGCCCTGAAGAAAATGGCCGCTTTGGAGGGTGGACTGTAAGGCATTGCACACACTTATAGGATTACCAGTTCTGGGTTGGGAAATTCCTGGAGATTTAGGGGGTGGAGCCTGGGGAGGGTGGGGTTTGGGGAAAAGCAGGACCTTCGTGTGATGTAATGCCATAGAATTATCCCTCCAAAGCAGCCATTTTCTGCTTGGTTCTGATTCTTGGAGGTTGTCAGGCCCCACCTGGAGGTTGGCAGCTGTTCCCACTGAGGTCCCTCTGTTCTCCAAACCACACGCTCCCCAGGCTCCACCCCAAATCTCCAGGGATTTCCCAACCCTACTACTCCCACCTCTGAAGTCCACCATTTTCAACCTATTATTTTGGGGCGAATGGCAGTGCTTTTGCCAACCATGGAAAAGGTCCGATTTTAAATTTGTGCATCCGTGTCGATGCATGGGCAGGGGTCTTTTTGTAGGAATTACCCAGCAGGAACTAATTAGCATAATAGGCCACACCCAATGGCTGAAACTCATTAGCATGTTAGGCCACACCCTGACACCACAGCTCATTAGCATACTAGGCCGCACCCCCGTGTTGCCAGAAGTGTGGTCATCCAGCCACACCCACCTTTTGCTTCTTATTCTGTTTACCCTGTTTGTTGTCAAAACCCAGGGCCTTTTTTTGTAGCAGGGACTCCTTTGCATGTTAGGCCACACACCCCTACTGTAGCCAATCCTAATGAGTTTCTGCTGTTGGGTGTGGCCTATTATGCTAATGAGTTCCTGCTGGGTGTGACCAGCTCAGGAGTCAGCCAGAACTCTGTTCCTGTGCGTTCCTGCCCAAAAATAGCCCTGGGCTATAGGATATGTGCGCTTTAGTGAGCGTGCACAGGGAGTCCATGTGATGGTCCTGTGTGGCATTAAATGTACAAACCCATAAATACAAACTCTGATGTTGAAAGGTGGGCCCTTATTTAGATAGTAACACTCTCTCCCTCATACTTTCTCTGGCTGCCTTGTTTGAGTCCGGCCCACGTGGGTTGGTTCGTTTCCCCATCCTCTGAACTGTCTCCCATACGCTGGGGTTCTTGGATCGGGACCACCAGAATGACGATTTTGCTCTTCAGATTTCGTGGCACTGCTGACCAGTGGCTCGGAGCCGTGGGTGCCTGCGAGCAATGCGGTGGCGAAAGGCCGGTTCTCTCTGGTCCGCT